TCTCTCTCTCTCTCTCTCTCTCTCTCTCTCTCTCTCTCTCTCTCTCAGCTTTTTGACGCCTCCATGTAGAGAGTCTGAAAGGTACTTTATTGAAGTTCGAGTAAAAGGCAAAAGAGAGAGGGGCGAGCGAGCGAGGCAAAAAGTGGGTTCACCCAGAGGACAACTTTTCTACGCCAGCAGTTTTATTCTAGCCACTCAGGCTGACCTCCGAGCCCCCAGTGACCTGAGTTAAGTCTCCCAACGTGTACCTTCTGTGCTCCCTACATACATTTAAAGCCTTCGCCACTGTTTAGGCTCTTTGTGAAAAAATTTACCATAGTAATAGAGAGCCGGGTGGGTGGGTGGGGAGGGGGTGGGCAGGCAGGGAGAGCTGGGCTTGGGCAGCTTCAATGCGGGTTATCGCATTGTGTTGCCACCAAAATAACCCCAGAGAAAAGAAGGCAGGGTGAAGTTTCGGCCAAGCCTCGCTCCTCATTTTCCCGCCTTCCCATAACTTGCAAGATTTCCCAGCTGGCTTTTCTATGGCAAGAGCAAAGTTTCCATCTCCAAGTAAGTATCTCGCGTGTTGTTGTTTCTGGGTTTTTTAAAGAGTTGTATCAGTTGGGGTGTGGAGGGAGACGGGAGCTCCACGAATGCCAGGACGTGGCCTCCTAGGCTCTGAAGGTGTCCCAGGACTTGCTTCTGCTGCACGAGCGCCTTCTCCGGAACGCAGGACCCAGAACAGGTCGGGTCTGGAGGTAAAGTCCCAGGCTGGCTTTCATCCGGGTGGCGGCGGCGGCGATGGCGATGGGGAGGCGAGCCAAGTCGACCGCAAGGCTCCTGCTGCCCATAGGTGAGGGCTGCTCCGAAGCTGAAGGACCTCTGTGCCACCTGATGTCCGTGTTTCTGCGTGTCCTGGGGGCTGCTGGAGCTCTCCTCTTGGTCCGCAAAGTGCTCCCGGCCGCCGCACCGAGGCTGACTTCCCGACCGAATGGTAGAGATTTCATGGCTCAGTGACTGGACGATCCCCCCCCCCCCGCCCCCAGCACGTTTGAAGTAAAAGTCAGCATGGGAATAATCCTGGAGGATTCCGTGAACAGCTGAAGCCCAGAGACCTGCTCGGGGGAGTGCCCGGGCGTTTGGGGGTGTGCGATGCCCAGTTGGTGTACAGTGATCTTACTTCGGTCGGGCTTGGTTGTCGGCGTCTTGGTTGTTGCTTTGTCTTCCTTAATGTCTTGGTAGAAACGAAATCCGTGTGCAACCACTTTGCTGGGACTTAGGTGGCCCTTAAAGACGGATTCAGGACTGCCCCTGCCAGCCTCCCCAGAGAAGGCGAGCAGATGGGTCACAGGGGCTTCTTATTCCTTGGTCTTTCCTCATTCAACGCCTTC